GCGGAACCACAAAGACGCCAATGCACTATGGTCGGACATTTGTGCGCTCCATGAGGGAACCAAGAGTGAGCGTGAGGAATGCTACCACCTTGTGATGAAAAAGCTTAATTCATTTAAGATGCTTCCTAGAGAAAGTGCCAATGAGATGTATTCACACTTGAATGTTCTTGTAGAGGAAGTCAATCGGCTTGGACTCACACAAATGCAACCCTCTGATGTTGTGAGAAAGATCTTGAGTGTCCTCCCCATCGACAAATATGGGCATATTATGACGGTTCTTCATTAAGGTGATCTTTCCACCGCTACACTAACTCAAATATTGGGAAAGATCAATGCACATAAGATGTACATGCACATCACTCCACAAGATGGCTCTTCTTCCACCAAGAAGAAAGATTTGACATTCAAGGCAAGCCAAGAGAAGAGAGGCAAAGCAAGAGTTGATCATGATAGCTCAAGTGATGATGAGATTGATGATGTAGGTCTTGCTCTCATGGTGAGAAGAACTACCAAGATGCTTAAGAAGCTAAATAAGAATGGTGTCAAGTTTGATGACAAGAAGAAGAAATTCTTCACTACTAATAGAAGGAAGCCCATCTCCGAAATGGATTGCTATAATTATGGAGAATTTGGTCATCTAGCTCATCAATGCCCCAAACCTAAGAAAGACAAGTACAAGAAGAAGTACAAGGGCAAGAAAGATGACTCAAGTGATGAAAATGATGATGAGAAGAAGAAGAACATGCCATATAAGAAGAAGGAATTTCACAAGAAGAAGAAGAATGACAAGGCATACATTGTTGGTGATTGGCTCACGGATATTAAATCATCAAGTGGCTCATCCGATGATGAAAGTGAGAATGAGAACGAGAAGGTGGCCGCTCTTGTGATTGATTCTTCACTATCTTCACCGACACTGTCGCCGTCATCCTCTACACACCTATGCTTTATGACCAAGAGTGAACGAAAGGTACAAAATGATGATGATAGTAGTGGTGATGATAATGCTAGCAATGATGAAAGTGGTAGTGATAGTGATGAAGAATTTGAATAACCTTCTTATGATGATCTTGTCAAGTTGCTAAACCAATACACTAAAATCATTAGAAAGACAAGAGCTAAAAATAAAAAGCTAGAACTTGAGAAGGACTCACTCTTAGCAAAGTATGACACAGCCGAAAAAGCTAGTGTTGAGCTTAGAGAAAAAAATAAAATTGTGTCATCCAAACTCAAGGAGCTCAAATCCTCTAAAAAGGAGCTTAAAGAAAAACATGATAAACTTGAGGGGATACATAATGAGCTCACCACTAGCTACAATTTGCTAAAAGAAGAGTACACCAATCTCAAGATTAATCATGATAATCTTGTTCTTTCTCATGAGTTATTATTCAATAAGCCACATGATGCTACTAACAATATTGTTAGGATTGATATAGCTACATCATGTGATGACTTGATTGTTGAGAGCATTGAGCAAGGCTCTAGTAGCAAAGGCAAGAAAGTGGTTGAGTCCGACAACTATGATGAGTATGTCAAGCTCAAGATTGAGAATAAAAAGCTAAAGAAAGATCTTGAAAAGCTATCAACCACCAACACAATTATGATAGAGAATCTTAACAAAGATTATAATATGGCTCTTGAAAAAAAGATGCTTAAAGAAGAGAACAAGAGACTCAAGGTGGAGAAAAGTCATGAAGAACTTAGAGAAGAAAATAAGAAGCTCAAGTTGGAGAAAGAGCATCTTAAGACCAGTTTGAGCAAGTTTACAAAGAGGCCAATATCTCTAAAGTGAGCTACTCATGAACACCGCGATGAAAATGGATAGAATTAGTATTGGGTACTTGGCAAATCAAGAGAAGAAAACTCAAGCTCAACATCAACAACAATACAAGTCAAAGCCTAAGCCAAAGAGATGGTTTGAGTGTGGACAAGAAGGTCACTTTGTTCATGAGTGTCAAACCCCACCACCACAACCCTTGCTCAAGCACGCTAGATCCTTTGCATTCAATGCTCACCACATGCTTAGAAAGGATTCTAGTGGAAAGATAAAATTCATGTTCTTAGGTCCTCCCAACAAGAATAGGCCTAAGCAAATTTAGGTTGCAAAGTCACTAGTTAAAAAAGTCAAGGGTTCCCTAAACAACAAGCTTGATCTCTTGTGTGTAGGTAAACTATAAGACCAGTGGAAGTCATTGGGTTATTGATAGTGGTTGCACTCAACATATGACTGGTGATCCTCGTATGTTCACCTCACTTGATGAAGAAGTAGATGATCAAGAAATGATTACATTTGGTGATAATTCAAAGGGCAAAGTTTAAGGATTGGGCAAAGTTGCAATATCAAATGACCATTCAATATCAAATGTGCTATATGTTGCTTCATTGAGTTTCAACTTGCTATCCGTTGGTCAATTGTGTGATCTTGACTTGCAATGTTTGTTTACCGAGAAAGAAGTGGTTGTGTTAAAGAAAGATGATGATCAAGTTATATTCAAGGGTTTTAGATACAACAACCTATATCTAGTGAATTTCACCTCTGAAGATGTAAACTTGAAGACATGCTTATTCATCAAAACATCACTTAGGTGGCTATGGTATAGAAGACTTGCATATGTTGGGATGAGCTCACTTAAGAAGCTAATGAAGAATAAATTGGTGAGAGGTTTGAAGGATGTGAAATTTGAGAAAGATAAGCTTTGTAGTGCATGTCAAGCCAGCAAACAAGTTGCAAACATTCATCCAACAAAAGCTTACATGTTAATAACAAGAGTACTAGAGTTTCTTCACATGCATCTATTTAGACCAACAACTTACAAGAGTTTAGGAGGAATCTCTATTGTCTTATGATAGTTGATGACTACTCTAGATATACCTGAGTGCTCTTCCTTCATGACAAGATCGAAGTGGCCGCATGTTTCAAAAAGTTTGCTAAGAGAGCGCAAAATGAATTTGAAGTTGTAACACCCTAAAAATTTCAATTTTGAAAAATAGGTTTAAAAGGATTAATTTATGAATTTTTGTGCTCATGAAATATAAGAAAAAGAATATTTTTTATTATATTAAAACTCATCATAAGGAGTAGCAACATGGTTGTGCATACATGCTGGTGTATTCGATTTATTTGGTTGAGTGGTTTTGATAAAAATTTAAAATAAATTTAAATTGCTTTTGGAAATAAATTTGAAAAGGCTTTTGAAATAAAAGAAAAGAAAATTAGAAAATAAAAGCATTTAAAAAGTTGTAAAAATTTATTTTTAAAAACTTACCAAAATTGCTCATTTTTATTTGAATTGAAAAGTAAATTTGAAATAATATTTAAATTTGGTTTTGATTCAAGTCAAATGAATTCAAAACCTATTTGAAAAAGTATTAGGAAAAACAAATGAGTAAACCCTCTCCCCTTCTAGCCCGTGGCCTGCTCCAGCTTGGCCCCTCTCCTTCTTCTGCGGCCATGTTTTTTTCCCTTCTCCGCTTAGCCTAGCACGCCACCGCAGCCCAGTCGCAGTGCTGGCCCGCTCTTCCCTCCTCTTGGGCCGTTTCTCCCTTTTTCACGCCGCAGCCCAGCTAAGCTGAAGGCCCGTGCAGCTGCCGCGCTCTCCTTCCTCGTCTAACTCACTACCACCCCGGGCCTGCGTGTCAGCGCCTTCCCTCTCCTCTAGTTCGTGACCGGGTCAGTCACGACCACCGCCACGTCGGAGTCCACTGCCGCCCCGACCTCGCCTGGATGGCGTGCGCCCCATGCTTACCCGCCCCTTAAATAGTAGGCCGCACCGTGCTGCCTCCCATCAAGTTGCCGAAGCCGCTTCGCCTCAAGCTCGCAGCGCCGCCATCGAGCCGAACCCTAGCGCTGTCGTTGCCGTCGCCCTGTGGAGCCGCATGCCGCCACAGACCCACTCTCGTCCGCGTGAAGCATCTAGGTGAGCTCGCCGTTTTCTCCTCTACCTCCCCAAGTCTTCCGTTGGAGCAACCGATTTCGAAGTCACCGTTCCGGCGAGGAGCCAAGACCCCGGCCATGGCGCCGCCGCCTGGAAGCAGCACGCCGGCGACCTCATCTCCCCCTTTCGCTCACAGCCGTCCATCTTTGATCCAACGGCCCAGATTAGAAGATACCCATTCGTTGGCAATTTTGCTAAAGAGCCCCTCTGTGTTTTCAAAATAGAACCCGCCGTCTCTGGTTTCTTTCAAAAGAGCCCATGTCTTTCTTTGAAATAGGATCCACAGTCCTCGGCTAGGTTTAAAAATCAGATTTTATTTATTTTAATTCAAAAATCAGGTTCCATCTATTTACAAAATTGCCACTATTTTCAGTAGGCCATATCTTCTCCGTTTTAACTCCGATTTGACCCGTTCAACTTTGGTTAAGTTCATAATTCCATAATCTACATGTTCGTACTACTGTTAGATATGTTTTTGACTTTTAAATTTCAAGGTTAGATTTAATCTATTATTTTATTAAAGGAAATCTTGTTTAATTCATATCTTCTACGTTTTAGCTCTGATTTGACCTGTTCAAATTGTGCTAAATTCATTACAATGAGATCTACACATTAGTAACAATGTTTATCATGTCACTATTTCTAGAATTTCATGGTTTAAACTCTAATTTGAATAATAATTATGCAACTGGATTTTTATAAATAAAATATGATTTGTTTTACTTTAGTTTTATAATTCAAATCTAAATTTGACTTAATTCAATTTATATAAGCTTTTATATAGTTAAAACACATGAAGCTTATAGTTTTATTTTTTCTCTTATGAGTAGATCTTTCGGTAGCCGTTTCTTTCAAACCGTAGCTCCGATTAGCGTGCCTCTCGCGACTGTATGTTCGTAGCGATGCGTAGAATCATGTTTCAAACTCTTTTACTTATTTTCCTATGTTTGGTGTACTGTTCTAATTTGGATCTATTGTTTGCTTCGTGTATGATTGCATGGATGCTTGTGTGGTGCATTATGATCTTGTCCAGTCGGTGAGTTTTACGTGCCGACACAAGTTACAATGGTTTGTAGCGGTTATGAACAGGGAACATTGAAGTGACTGGTTTCTGTCTATGTGCGCTCATTGTTGATATGAATGGTTGATGTTTCTGGAACTGCCAAAATGTACTGATGCTTTGAGAATCGAAAGTAACCTCATCTAGACTGGGTAAACTTACTAGAATATAGCATGAGACATCAGGAGAGATTTTGGATAATTTTATTTATATGCATGTGTTAATGAACTAGGCTATTCAAAAAAGAATAAAATTGTCAGTATGTTCAGTTTGCTAGTGGTATCTTATATTCCTGTAATCCTGTGCCACATTAAACATTCTTCATATGGAGTAAGCTTGCAATCCTAACTAGGTGCCTGTTAGATTTTTCTAATATGCTATTTATCTGTTAACATTGTTGTCACTGGTCATAATTTGAATATGAATCTATACAGCCTTTGTACACTAAATGCTACCATAATTTTACTACTTGTTAGTCAAAATGTGCAAAGTTACACTTTCTGAAACAACTTGTTGCTTGCATCTGTGGATGGAGGGAGTAGTGTCTTGGTCCTGTAATGCCGCTTTAAACAGTATTCTTATATGCAATCCATATTTTAACTACTAGTTGCCTGCCACTGTTTGAACATTGTTGCTACTAGTCATAATTTCTGTTCTTTCTTTTTTTTTCTCTGTCTGTTTCATAGCTTAATGCCTACATACTATGGTTTGTAGTTGTGTGGAAGCATGCCAAGAGTGATGGCCATGAGGACTATGGCCTCCTTGTCAGTGAGAAGGCAAGGAAATATGCCATAATCAAGGAGCTTGATGAGCCAGTTACCTTGAAGGATGGGACAGTGGTCCTGCAGTTTGAAGTGAGACTTCAGAATGGCCTTGAATGTGGAGGTGCCTACATTAAGTACATCCGCCCTCAGGATGCTGGATGGGATGCCAAGGAGTTTGATAATGAGACTCCATACACTATTATGTTTGGTCCAGATAAGTGTGGGTCAACCAACAAGGTTCATTTCATCCTTAAGCACAAGAATCCTAAGACTGGAAAGTATGTTGAGCATCACCTCAAATTCCCACCTTCTGTCCCATATGACAAGCTCTCTCATGTCTACACGGCTATCTTGAAGCCAGACAATGAGGTCAGAATTTTGATTGATGGGGAAGAAAAGAAGAAGGCAAACTTCCTTTCTGCTGATGATTTTGAGCCAGCACTTATCCCGCCCAAGACCATTCCTGACCCTGATGACAAGAAGCCAGAGGACTGGGATGAGAGAGCTAAAATCCCTGATCCAGATGCAGTGAAGCCTGATGACTGGGATGAGGATGCCCCGATGGAAATTGTGGATGAGGAAGCCACCAAGCCTGAGGGATGGTTGGATGATGAACCTGAGGAGATTGATGATCCTGAGGCAGCCAAGCCTGAGGACTGGGACGATGAGGAGGATGGTGAATGGGAGCTGCCAAAGATTGACAACCCCAAGTGTGAAGAGGCACCTGGATGTGGCGAGTGGAAGAGGCCAATGAAGCAGAATCCTGCTTACAAGGGCAAGTGGCATGCACCTATGATTGACAACCCCAACTACAAGGGAATCTGGAAGCCTCAGGAGATCCCCAACCCTGAGTACTTTGAGCTTGACAAGCCTGATTTTGATCCAATTGCTGCTATTGGGATTGAGATCTGGACAATGCTGGATGGCATCCTGTTTGACAATATCTTGATTGCTGATGATGAGAAGGTTGCCACCTCCATTCTGGAGAAGACCTGGAAGCCCAAGTATGATGTTGAGAAGGAAAAGGAGAAGGCTGAGGAGGCTGCTGCTGGTGCAGATGGTCTTTCTGAGTTCCAGGTGATCCATTTTTCTGATCTTTTGCAGCCATAACTGTTATTTCTATATTTATTATCATCGTTGTTCCATCGTGTCCCTAACTGGTTTTGCCCCTGCAGAAGAAGATTTTTGACATCCTGTACAAGGTTGCTGATGTTCCGTTCTTGGCTCCCTACAAGGCCAAGATCATTGTGAGTTTTGGTGATATTTGCTATCCTCTCCTGTCAAACGTCAGGATTCTTGTTATCGAGAAAATAACATGTTCTATGTATATCTCGTACACAGGATGTTATCGAGAAGGGAGAGAAGCAGCCCAACATCACTATTGGTATTTTGGTCTCCGTTGTCGTCGTGTTCGTTACTGTTCTCTTCAGGATCCTGTTTGGTGGCAAGAAGCCAGTGGTACTATTCCCAACCAATGTATTACTGCTGCCACGGTTCTTAACTTGAAGAGAATGCTCAATCCACTACATTTGCTTGTTCCAGGCACCTGTGAAACCTGCAGCTGAGGCGAAGAACGTTAGATAATCCAATGTTACCTTGTGTGAACACAGCAAGGGAAGGCGGCGCCGAAAAGGGCTCTCTGCTGTGATACTGTAGCCGCTGCAGGTATGGACGCCACACGGCTCACCTGCAGCACTGTAGGCACATGCAGTGGCCGGCGCAGAGTCAGCCCTGTATGTTATCTAGTTCCTGTAGCAGCATGACAGCTGTATTAGGACTAGAAGGATAGAGTTGTATAAATAGGATACCATGGCAACTCAGTAAAGAGAGCTCAGATTTGCCATCTCACAGACACGACTTCGGCCAACGCTGGTGTCTTGTATTGTGCGTGCATGCTCTGTTCTCCCTCTTCTTCTATCTCTGGCCATAGTGTGTGGTCGGACAACATCTGTTCGTGGTCGGCACGGCTAGTGGCTGCTCGGCAGCACTAGCGGGTGCTAGGCAAGACTGGTGAGTGGTTCACTCAGCTGAGCCGGTGATCCTGTGGGCCAACAAGTGGTATTAGAGCCGTACAAGCGCCGTCGCCAGACTAACCTCTGGCGATGACGGGCGGTTCGGAAGTGGGCGACAGCAGTGGCACTGCTGCGGCTGCACAGCCACGACCGGAGGTCGTTGTTCGAACGGTGCGGGAGGTCAGCGGCACTAGTTGGTCGACGCTGACTCGCACCAACTATGGAGAGTGGTCGGTGACCATGAAGGTCAAGCTCAGAGCCCGACGGCTCTGGAATGCGGTTGACAAGGGCACCGACAATGAAGAAGATGACATGTCAGCGCTGGAGGCTATCCTCGCTGCTGTACCGGCGGAGTACAGGGAGCCGTTGGGGGCGAGGATCTCGGCTAAGGAGGCGTGGGAGGCTATTGCGGCGATGCGCGTCGGTTCCGACCGCACAAAGAAGGCAACGACCCAGCTTCTGAAGCAGGAGTACACCAACCTCAAGTTCAAATATGGTGAAATGGTGGAGGACTTCTCCCTCCGCCTGCAGACACTCATCAGCAAGCTGAAGAGCCACAGTGTCACCATCGATAAAGAGGAGGCGGTCTCCAAGTACCTCCACTTCGTGCCGGCAAAGTACATCCAGATCGCTCTCTCCATAGAGACGATGCTGGACTTGTCCACCCTCACCATTGAGGATGTGACAGGCCGTCTGCGGGCGGTGGACGAGCGCTTGGAGCAGGCGACAGCAACGAAGGACAGTGGGAAACTCCTGCTGACGGAAGAGGAGTGGGCTGCTTGGAGGAACTTTGGGAAGGCAGCCTCCTCCAGCCGTGGTGGCGATGGCAAGCACCGCGGCAAGGCTTCTTCAGAGAAGAAGCAGGTCGACCCCAACGCCTGCCGGCGTTGTGGGAAGATGGGCCATTGGACACGGGAGTGCCCAAACTGCAAGCAGGAAAAGAAGGCTCAAGCTCACTTGGCGCAAGCCGATGATGAGGATGAGGCCACTATCCTGATGGCGACGTTCTATGCACTGCACGACGTTGAGGACGAGGAGAGGGAAGGGGCGACGATGGTGGAAGGACCTAGGAAGGCCCTAAAGACTGTCAACCTCGATGAACCATGCGCCCAAGTTCACCTCGGACGTGTGGGCACCGACCAGGAGGAGCGGTAGTATCTGGACTTTGGTGCCAGTAACCACATGACGGGATCCAAGGCATCCTTCTCCGAGCTCGACGGTGATATTACCGGTACCATTATCTTCAGATGCTAGAACAGGGAGCACCGTGTGCTAACGGATGTATATTACATCTCGCAGCTGTGTTCCAGCATCATCAGCATTGGTCAGCTGGATGAGCGTGGTAGCGAGGTACTGATTAAGGACGGAGTCCTTAGGATCAGGGACCGGGAGCAGCGACTTCTTGCCAAGGTGAAGAGGTCCCTGAACCGGTTGTACCTGCTCAACCTGAAGGTAGAGCAGCCGGTGTGCCTGGCGGCAAGGCACTCTAAGGAACCGTGGATGTGGCATGCCCAGTTCGGACATCTTAGCTTCGATGCGCTTGGTCGACTGGAGAAGATGGTCCGAGGGCTACCCCACATCAAGCACGGAGGCGAGCTATGTGACAGCTGCCTGGCCAGGAAGCAGAGGAGGCTACCTTTCCCAAAGGCGGCCAAGTATCGCGCAAAGGAAGCTCTTGAGCTCGTCCACGGCGACCTCTGCGGGCCGATCACGCCTGCTACATGTGGTGGTCGGCGGTACTTCCTCCTGCTCATGGATGATTGCAGTCGCTACATGTGGCTGCAACTCCTGATGAGCAAGGACGAAGCGGTGACGGTGATCAAGAAGTTCAAGACGCGTGCGGAGGCCTAGAGTGGCAAGAAGCTTCGCACGCTGAGGACTGATCGGGGCGGTGAATTCACTTTGGTGGAGTTCATGCGTACTGCGTGGATTAGGGTGTGACGCGACACCACACCATGCCGTACTCGCCACAACAGAATGGCGTGGTGGAGCGACGGAACCAGACGGTGGTCGGCATGGCTCGATCCATGATGAAGGCCAAGGGAATGCCGGCAAGGTTCTAGGGAGAGGCAGTGACCACGGCAATGTTCATCCTCAACCGCGCTCCAACCAAAGCCCTGACAGGCAAGACGCCGTTCGAGGCTTGGTATGGGCAGAAGCTGAGCATGTCCTTCCTCTAGACATTCGGCTGCATCGGCCACATCAGGAGGACAAAGCTGAACCTTACCAAGCTGGAGGACAGGAGCACACCGATGGTGTTCCTAGGCTACGCGGAGGGTACCAAGGCGTACCGACTCTACGACCCACGCTGATACAAGGTGATTGTCTCGTGCGACATCGTGTTCGACGAGAAGGCTGCTTGGGACTAGAGCAGTCCGAGCACCGGGGAAGCAGGAGGCTTCACCAGCACCTTCGTCATCGAGCACTTGGTCATCCACGCAAGTGGAGACGCTGGGGAAGAGGTGCCGAGCACTCCGAGAGGAGAGCCGAGCACTCCGGCGATAGAGCCGAGCTGATGTGACCACGTAAGCGTCGGGGACCTCGGCGACCTCTCCGACCACCTCGGCGATCTCTCCGACCACCTCAGTGATCTCTCCGACCACTTCACCGAGCTCGGCAACCTCTCCGACCATCAGCTGATACACCACTCCAAGTCCTTACTGGACCAATCACCCGTAGCCGCGCCCAAAAGATACAACAAGAGGTGCACGCGTTACTTTGTGAATTTCAATTAAACATTGATGGTAATTTCGAGCTACCTCAGTTGTGCATGTTGTTATTACTCAGGTTCTCCGAGGAGGAAGACAAGGATACATCAAGGATGGATCAGAAAGAAGAGCTACATTCGAGTCAATCCAGCATGACAGAACCATCCAGAAGAAACAGTCATATCTTTTGTCTCCCAAAAGCTATGAAGGTGAATGAGCACTTGTTGGAAAGATCTTGAAGCCTAGTTTCCAATGCTGTCATGCCGACCAGTTTGGAGTGTCCAGCATGGCGTCTGACCAGTTTTAGTGAAGACTGCTCCGAAGCTCAATAGTCTGCATGAAGCTAAAGATCCCGTGCAAAAACTGTACCATTCTAGAATAATTCGTGGTGCATAGCATACATGGTTTGAAAGATGATGAAGTTAGCTTTCCAACGCATCCAACGGTTCGTCATTTGGACTTTCCACGAAGGAGTTATGACCAAAACATTAAAGACTGCCCAGAAGCCCAGAAGACACGCGGAAACTGAAGACCACCTCGTCTGTTGACCTTCCACCTCCCAACATGGCTTCTTCAGTTCACATCTATCTTAGAGACTTCTCATAGTATAAATATTACCTCTAGTCTAGTAGAAAAGTACTTTTGATGATTTGATAATTCTAGTGATATTGCAGCCGAGCTGTCGAGTGCTTACTCAAACCCTTGTTCTTCCTTGTTCTTCCTGGACTTGTGAAGAGATTCCTCTAGGATCCACTAGTTTGTGCTTTGCGGGTTCCAGTACGGCTGCCCTGCCTTGTGTGGATTAGCTCCAGTTGTGGTTCTGCGGTCGTTCGGAGATCGAGTCGAAGTCTTCGTGGTTTCGGTGCCTCTCTCCCCGTCGCTTGGTCGCATCCAACCTTGGAAGGTATAAAGCTAGTTATCCTCCGCTGTTCGCAGCAAGTTATCTTGTGATTTCCAACCTACTGTCATGAAGATCGGGCCATTCCAAGGAGGTTTCCATTGGTATCTTGCTATTGGTGATCTCTGACCCTTATCATGTGGTAATCAGAGCTATCGTTGTCATGGTAGGTTTTGTTATTACCTACTTATCTATCTATTCGTTTACCATCTACTACTGCTTTTATCCATCACATATATTTGTTTCGCCATATCCTATAGTCCAAAGCCACACAAAAAATACCTATACCATTTCGCGGTACTGTTACGTTGTGTTTTGTGTTCATCGAGTTGCTAGTCACCACCGTTTATATAAATTGAGTTGTTTCGTTCGTTACCGTTGTCAGTGTTATAAAAAAAGAAAGAGATTAGTTTCAAAAAAAAGAGGAGAAGTGAAAAGAAGTTGAAGGATCTGTGTTGCGGTGTATTGCTGAAAATTTCAGTTTACATATTTGAGTTGGTGGTAATCTTGTTAGCAGCAACGTCGTGTCTTTGAGCACATCAAACCACTCGGTTGGCAGTACCGTTGCCCTCCTTGTTAGCCACCTATAGCTCCACCAAAACCTAAACCGGGACGTTCGATTCGTAATCCTTACGACCTCTCTACCACCTCCGTTGGAGCTACCACACCAGCACCATCACGGTCCTTGAGAACGAGCAAGAACTTGGGTAAGTAAGAGGTGAGATTGTGTGTTTCCACAAATTTACCTATTTCACTTTTTCTTGCAACTAGTCTAACATGGCAGGATCCAATTTGAGTGTTTATGGTGGGGACCACGGAGATGAAGAACCCCCTGTTGCA